ATATCAAAGTAGATGAAAAAATAAAAATTATAAATATTAAATTAATAAAAAATATATAATAAAAGGTCATTTTTATATTTAATTCATTAATAAATATTAACAAAACTCTTATTTTAATTATTGATTTTTAATAAAAATCATTAAAATTTAATTTACCCAAATTGATAATTAAAATTTGCCAACTATCCAGAATGATCTTCCTCACATATTTCATCTAACCAAGTGATGAGAAATAATGTGGCTACTACATTTGCCGCCACATCAATGAAAATTTACGTCCTTTTATTTATTTCCCTCATTCCTTTTTTTTTTTTTTTTCTACTTTTCTCTTTTCAATTGTCGATTTATGATTTTGTTTTTTAAATAAAAATTACATCTAAAAAATCAAGATTTGTGATTCGATTGATTTAACAATTTATTTGACAAAACATGTTTTTTTTTGCCACTTGATTAAATAAAATCTTTAGGGATAATCAAATTTGACATAGTCGAGAAACTTTAATGACTTATTCGATAAAATTAAAAATTAAAAATTAAAATAAAAATTTTATAAAATTTTAATGATCATTCATGTAATTTACTTATATTAAAAATGAAAAAAAATATTCTATATATATTGGTTATAAAATTTTTAAATTTTACCAATAATGAATCTTCATTTGTTTAGATCAATAGGCCTACTAGAAATAATAGATATTAAACATGCATTTTTTTTTATAGAAAGTTGTTATATATTTTATGCATTTTAACTTTAGCCAAGGCTATTTTATACATATTCACCCACTAATATTAAAATGATTAATTTTTCATCTATTTTTTTCGTATATACCTGAAACCAATTAAAGAAATTCAAAGCAATCTCAACACCTATAATAAATTTTTAGACATTTAAGCTTAGTATTAAGGCTATCCACTAGTCATTAAAAAAAAAATGCTATCCATTGTTTGTTTTTCTCTCTCTTCATCAATATAAGGGTTTTAATTTGGGATGGAAAAACAAGATCTTCTTTTCATTCATTTTTTTTCTCACCTTTATCCTTCCCCTCTATTTTTTTTTTCTTCCTACTAAACAGTGTAGTTATTGTATCGTAATATTGTATCCTGACAGCTGATAGCTAGTTGGGAAAGCTTGAGGTTGAGCCCTGTAGCAGGATTGAGGTGTATATATAGTGATGGTGAAAGGCTACACGATCCCATACAGCCAAATAATAACTATGTTCTTGGGGACAAAATTAAAGTGGTGATAAAAGAAGCATAGTTTTTAATTTTGTTTTGTTATGATCGTATCAATTGGTATATTTTAATTATATTAAAATATAATATATTTAAAAATAATTTTTTATATTAAATTTGATATCAAATAATATCGATTATTTTTGTTAATTTCAATTAATTTTAATGAATTTCGATGAAATAATTATTTTAATTTTTTAATTTTAATTTATTTTCTGTTATTTAACCATTTTTAATGTAATAAAAATAAAATTAATTGACAAAATAACTATTAAAATTTGAGTTTTTTATTTTTTATTTTTATTTTTTTATATTTTTTTTCAAACCAAAATTTATAATTTTATATTTTATTTTTTCAAATATAAGTTTATAAGTATTTCAATTTTTTTTCAAGAAAGCAATTATACTCCTTTTTATAAAGTTTAACAATTAAAAAATTTTGGTTAATTTTTTTCATCTCTTTGGTTTTATCTTAATATTTATATAAAAAATTACTTATTTAAATATCATATGATCAAATTAAATATTTAAAAATATCATAAAAATTTATGATATTATTTTTTATACTTTTAAACTTATTTATTTGATTTTTGAATAATTTTTATTTATTTTGTAAATTATTAATAATATTATAATGTGAAAGTTCATGCATATTTATAAATATATTTATGCTAAACCAATAAATCTAAAATAATATATTAAAATAATTAATATCAACATATATCATACTTTTTAAAAAACTAAAATATTATCTGATATAATGTTAACAACTTTAGAAAACAAGACCTTTACACAATCCCATGCTACTCTAGCCGATGGGGATTGAAAAAAAAAGTCCATAATATTAAAATAATAATATGTCCCTTTTTTCTTCACCGTATAAGAATTTTCAATTTAAAATATCTTTTTTTGATTAAATCACATTCTTTAAAAAATCATATTTTAAGCACATTTCATAAAAGTTTAATTTTTAATTGAGTTAAATTAAAAATAATTTTTTAATTAAAAAACTTCAAATATTACATCTTAAATTAAACATTTAATCATATACAAATATATGACTTTTTTTCCTCGTACAAGAATCTTTGATTGAAATCAATAATTGGAAAATATTCTCTTCCAAGAAAGAGGTTGTTCCTAGTTGAGAAATTTTCCTGCATAACAACAAAGATTGAAGAAAATTACCTTTTCATCGTTGAGTAATTGAATCTTTGCCAGCTAGTTATTAGTTAGTCAATGATATGAGGTCAGGATTGAAAGTAAGTTGTGGGTCTTAATCATTAAGAAGGATCAACGACAAGTTGAAAAATGACTTTTTTTTTTTAATTGAAAAAGGACTCGTTACTTGAAAGCAACATTTTAGTTTGAGGACCTTGAATAATGTATTTCATAATTTCTACGTAAAATGAAAAAAATAATTATATGTATATAAATCAAGTCAAATTTAAATTATTTCATATTTGAATTATTTTATATTTAATATAAAAAAAGAAATTAATTCTTAAATCATAAAAATTTTAAAACTTTAATATACAATATAAAAGAAATTCGTTCGTACATGCTAGATATTACACGAAGTCAAAATTTTAAATTAATAATAATAATTAAATTTATACGTCTTCCATGTATGTTTGTCACCTTTATGTAATACTTCTAACTAATACGAGATAACCACACTTGGTACGTAACATGTAAACCTAAACATTCCTATTGTCTCGGATCGGGATTTTAAGGGCTTGGTTCACCTTCGGCTAATAACCATTTTTTACTTTGCATTATGTTAATGTCAAAATAAATTAGATAATAAGTTTGGGATTTAAATACTAATATTTATAATTTTTTATAATTAAACTACAATTTTTTTATAAAAAAAAAAGATATAAAAATATTACCGCATTATTGTACTCAGAGGAATTTGTTGCACAAAGAAAATGGAGCTCTGTTGAACAAAATATACTTCAGATGCAAATTTCAATTAAAATCATATATAGTTCTTTATTATCGCAACAAAAACAAGGTACGTTAATCCAACTAAAGCTACTAACTATGAAGGCTACTGACACGTGATTTTTTTCGCCTTGTTTTCTCTGTTTTCTTATATTTATTATTGTATCTATTCTTTTCCACTCTTAGCTTTATTCTCCAACAAGTTGTTCTTGTTAGGGATGTAATTAGAAACAAACCATATATTCAAGGAACATTCCAACCGTTAAAGTTTAAGATTTTGTTTTAGAAGATTTCGAGTTTAAATTTTTGGATGAAGATGAAATTTACGAGACGGAGAAAAGCCACTTCTCATTTTGCGATGAGGTGGAAAAATGAATCAACCTCACAGCACAGTTGTTTTTAAGTCGTACTCTTTTGCTTTTTTTCCTTTTATCCATAATTCTTTTTAACTTTAAAATATCTGGCAACGTAACTTTAAAAGCAGTAGCAGTGCTAGGTGCAAGTGGGATGAAGTAGAACCTCACCAAAGATTTAAAGCTTAAAAAATCTATGGCTCCAGCAAGCAAATAAAACAAAGTTGCAAAAAAAATGAAACATGAAAGGGAAAGGAGCTGTGCCTGTGACACCCTGCTTCCCCTTTATATAATGTCAGCCACCATGTGATAAGAATAAGTGTGACCCTAACCCTTCATGTGGACCAGTTGCAGATACTGCATAGCTAAAAGAGAAAATCCTTTTTTTACCAACTTTCCAATACCCAACAAACATTCTTCACTTTATTAACAAGAAATCTGATGACATAATAACTATAATAAAAGTTTAACATAAAATAATATACCAATTACCAAACCCCATCTTCTGAAATCTCATCTCAATGGCAATTCCAGCCTTCAATGCATTTCCCTTTTGAATGCTCAAGATTAATTTTAAGTTATTTTCACTAACATCCTAACAAGTGCTGTGTTAAATGGACACATTTCTGGCTTCAAAGTCTATTCATACAAGTCAACTTTACATAATGTTTTTATCACATAAGGTGAAAGAAGATGCATAGATTGACAATACAACAACTATCCTTGTTTTCTTCAGCTTTTGTTTGTTGGAAAACAACCTACAAAAGGAGTGCAAAGGGAGAAAAGAGAAGCCCTACACTCAAAAATCAGTTCATCTATTCTTTATGTTCCAATATGCATTTGCTGTTAGTAGTATCGTATTGAAGATGATGATGATGATGATGATGATGATCTTGTCGAGATATTCTCTACAGATCTACTCTTCATTCTATAAATCTGGCTGTACACATCTAGGGGATACTTCTTGTATATGCTTCTCTACTTTTCTGCATCAGTAAGTATCACATCAAAAACATTGGAAGAATGCTATTTGATTGGAATTCAAGAAATATAAGTTTATATATTTTTGTTACTCTTTTCTGATTTCTGACCATGCTTACCTTTATTTCCTACAGTTCATTGGCTTCAGGCTCATGATAAAACCTGAGAAAATGTAAGTAAAATCTCAATTACAATAAATACCTTCTACTCTGGTAATCATAGCAGGAGGGATCAAGTTATAACAACGTTAAAGCAGTGATAGTACCTTGGAATTAAGAAGAGGACAACTTAAGCGGAGGCCATGTCACTAGTAGAAGAGATGGGCAGTAATGGATAACTTTCAGAAGATGAAGTAGCACATAAAGCAGGACTTTCATTTACTTCCACCAAAACAGAAGGAAACTCAGAGAGGTGATTTTCAATAGATTTTTTTGGTGAAGCGAAAGGGCTATCAGGAAGTGGATGCTCTACACTGCTCTCATGGTATCTATAAGAAATGGACATAAAAACAAATCAGAAAGATAACTAAAACACAATAAACTCCATAAGAGCCCAAAGACAGCAGTATAAAATTAAAAATAATAAGAAAGTCATCATATGTACTTCTTGGAAGTTTTATCTAGATTTCACAATTAAGTTCCATGTTGTTAAGGGACATCATACCCTTTGGGGTTGGAACACTCTTGGGTATTTCCAACTCCATCTTTCTGAACACAAGCTGAATTCACTTCTTCCTGCTCAGCAGCATTCATAGTTGACGGAACAGCAACAGCTGTATTATCACCGTTGACTGCCACAAGAAATAATATAAATTTAACTACAGCAAAGTTTTTTGTCCTTTTCTCTGGCCAAAAAAAAGAACAACTGATTTTGATCTTATTTTCTTTTTTAGAACAAGAGAAAAGGAAATTTATCCGAACATTCACACGTACACAAAGTGAGATTCACAAATCCAACAAAAAGATAATAATATGAGATAGAACTGAGGCTGATTAGAAACCTTCTGAGACTTCTTGTTTAATGCTTTCAGATGGATGAACATTTTCACAGACATGGGAATAAGCAGGCAAGGAAACAGAAGCACCAACAGATAGGCTGCGCTGATGACGATGAATACCATCATTCTTGAAGTCTGGAAGTTGCAAGTTCATGAACCTGCTCCTTTGCAGTTCAATAGCTTCCTGGATTTCGGTTTGCTCTTCCAATTCTCTTCTCAACATCATCTCCTGTGCATTGTAGAACATCTTTGCCCCTGTATATAAGAGAAATTAAGAAACTCAAAAATCTAAAGGACAAAATAAAACAAAAGAAATCCATTTCCCTTCTATCATTTCATGCAAAAAATCACATGAACAGAATACAGACAACCCCACAAAAAGCCATGCCGGTTTCTTCGCTTACCAACATGAAGGTCATATGGCTCCCTAGAGTCAAGCACTGAAGGGCTTGAACATGGAGAAAAATTCCCTCTCTCAAACTGTTGTTGCGGGTATTGCCTCCTGCAGTTGTTCCATTAAAAGTTACAAAATCAACAAACAATGAGGGCAAGATGCAAGATAAAAACGCAAACAAGAGAAGATGCAGTACTTATCAGGAACTTTTCCTTTTTCCTTGTAGGGCTTAACAAGCACACGTGAATCACAAATGTAATGGGGGTTTCCTCTCGCCAAAATGAGCTTCACAGTCTCTGGGTGGACAAAAGTAACAAAACCAAACATCCGCTTCTGCTGGTAAGGGATCCTCACATCTTGCACTAGTCCAAACATGCTTTAAAAGATACAGGAGAACTAAAGTAAATTCACAAACTTAAAATTTAAGAAAATCAAAAACCTTAGTTGATAACAAAGAAAACCACTTTGGTATCAAAAGCATTTTAGGATTTTGTATCAAAAGAATCAAGTAACCAACAGTGACATACAATTAAATGGAAACTTCATCTAACAAAGGTGGATATGTAACTAAGGGTTTAGGGTTCAAGGCTAATGCAACAGCTGGAGAAGGCAACAGGGTTCAAGACTTGACGTAATCAATCATGGATTTTCAGCCATCAGGTTTATTATCAGAATGAGACTAAGTTGATTCAGTTCAACTGCCTAACCATTTAGAAGTGTAACAGATACCTGAAGTAGTTTGAAACATCTTCGTCTTTAAATGTACTATCCGCAGGAAAAGTCAGGTAAATCTGTTTTGAAGCTGAGTTAGCTTTTTCTGCCAATCCCATTGCCAAAACATCATTTCTCTCAGATCGGCCCTGGGCAAACCTGCAAATTTCTTCACCCAACATCAATGTAGCAGCTCTGCAACATCACAGTGCGTCAAATAAAAAAAGAATTTAGCACAAAAGAAAATATGCCATAGCCCATGCTATATTTTTAACTAGCCAGTACTCCCACCAAAATAAGACCAACAATTATCTTATAAATACTGAGCTAAACTCAAATTAATTAACTTTATGAATCAAATCACATAAACAAAGACAAAAGTCAAAAAGATGTCTCTACTATTCAACCAGGAAACGTGTAAACCACAAACAAAAAATAAATAAATAAAAACTGACTAAAAGAAATCAATTCATACAGCAAAAGTACGAAGAAATGCAAAATAGTCAGTAACTACTTTATTTCTGGGTAAATTTTATGTAAAACCAAAACAAACCCTAATGCAGAAATCATTGTGGATCCCATAGCCACCAAGATAAGCCCAATGTTAGATCAAAAATTAAAAACCTTAAACATAAAATAGCCCAAAAACAATGGTAAGACGGCAGGAAACAAAATTGAGGAATCTTTAATATACCTCTGTGTATCAGTTTGCTGTTGCAAGATAAGATTCGTTTTTCTTTCGTATGGCAAGGGAGAAGAAACACCAGCCATCAACTGCGCAGCAGCCACTCTTTGCTGATGAGCTGCTGCTCTCATTCTCATCATTTCCTCATGTTGATGATAAAGAAGGTCCATTTTACTAGGTGAACCAAGAATAACACCATTAACATCAACATTTTCAGCTGAAACACCAACGCCATGTGAAAACTTACAATTATCACCATTCTTACAAAACCCTCTAGCAAAATAAAGACAAGGCTTGTAACCACCTACAAGACCATCAAATCCACCGGCTTCTTCAGCTGTCGCAAAACATGCATCACTTGCTGAAAAATTCCTTCTATGACCAACAAATTCCTCATTCTTAGAAGAGGAAGAATCGTTCAAGAAAGAAAAATAATCACTCATTTGATTCTCATCAATAAAAGCAGTGTTGTTATCCCCAGCCCTTGGAGGAACTAAGAGAGACCCAGAGTGGATCTTTTCATAAGAAAGAAAAGGACTTGACTTGGGGCTGCTAGTAGGAGACCAAGAAGGCACCTTCTTTGAAAAATCCAAGAACCCATTTATTGGAATGAGGCTAGGAGATGATGGAGGAAGTAGGCTTTGGGAATTGTTGGAGTTGGAACTGTTGGGTCTTGAGATTGGGTTCAAAGGAGTAGAGAAAGTACTTGAAGAAAGTCCTAAGTGAGCTTTAGCCTTGAAAACAAGCGACTGTAAAAGGGTTTCAGGACCAAAGGCTAAACGCAACAAATCCCTTTCTGCTAAGTCTTGGATAAGGATGTAACCCATGATCTTTGAAGCATTTTCTGGGTCCAAAATCTTGATTTTGCTGAACAAAACGTTGGTTGTATTATAAAGATCCATGGAGATTTTTCAACTCTTTTTCCTTTTTTTTTTTTGGGTTTGAGAAAAACTGTGGAGTTTGGTTTTTCTCTTACTTAGTCTCTTGGAGGGGGAGACGGTGAAGGGAAGAAAGAGAAAGAGAGTGAAAACTGACAAGATAGTGGCGATTGTGGGGTTTTGGTTTCCGAAGTTTGTTTTCTTTTGTTTTTTTTTTTCCTCTTTTAAAAAAAATCCTAAAAAAATGAAAATAAAAATAAAGCTCGGACAAAGAGAGAGGGAGTGGGTACGGTAAGGCAAATGGGAAGGGTTTTGAAGTTAAACAAGAGCGGGCTTCGTCTCTCCAAATTCTCCCTCTCTTTTCTTTCTTCCTATCTACTAATATACTGTCTCAAGTTTCAATCGAAAGAAACCCTTCTTTGATCAAAATTCAAAATATACATACTACGTACAACTTAATCGTATATACATACATTTTAAATGTATCAAATAAATTTATTATCATTATTCAAAAAAGTTTTAATGATAAAGAAATTAATTGAAACAAAAAAAAAAAAAAGAAAGAAAGGATAAGAAAAAGGGACATATAATTTTCATTCAATTAAAAATAAATTTATCCCTATTAGTTGGAAAACACATTTTATCTCTTTTGAAAAAGTAACTAATGCTATTATTCCATTAATCAAATTAATATTGTTTAAATTTTACTTATAAATATTTAAAACATCCTTAATTTTTTTATCAGTAAACCATTTTTAATAATGGTAATTAATTAATTTTAAATAAAAATAACACAATACATTCATCTCAAAATTAATATATTATTGAATTAAAGATAAGTTTAAAATATTTAATATGTATTTGAATTATAATATAATTTAAAAGTGATTAAAGATCATTTTACAATTAATTAAATTCTCATTATTTTACAATGAAAAAGGTATTGGGTAAAAAAGCAAAGATAAATATAAAAATAAATAACTAATGAAGAATATATTTATTTTAATTTTAAATTAATTTAATAAATAATACTTCAAAGGTTAATATCCATTTTATCAAACCTTCTAGGGGTAAAAGGGTGCATGCACATGCATTAAAAAAATTTTTAAAAATTCTATAATATAAAAAACAACTGTATTTGTTAAGTAATAGTTTTATTGTTTTAAAAGGTTAACAAGAATCTTAAAAAAAGTTTCTTTTTGCCAAGATCTTAAAAAGAGTTTAGTAATTTATTCTTTTTTTGAGAAAAGTAATTTAAATTGTTGTTTCAATGAATTAGTGTTATTATTATTATTATTATTATTATTATTATTATTATTGAAATATTACTTTATTTTTTCATAAATTTAAATATCATCATCATTTATTATAAAAAAATTAAATAAAAATATTAAAAATTTAATTTTAATAATCATGATTCAATTCTTATAATTTTACGTAAAAAAATTACTATATCTTTAAGCTATTAACAAACCTTAAATTAAAAAGAAAATTAGTTAACATTGTGTATGTCTCTTAAATTATAATAAAATATTTAATATAATATTTAAATTTTAAAAATTTTGAATATAATATTTAAATTATAAATTTGTTAATTAATATAATATTTAAAAAGTTATTTATTTATTATATATTATTATTTAAAATTAAATATTATAATAATTAATATATTTATAATTTAAATATTTAATTTTTAATTTTTAAATAAATTAAATTAAATATTTTATTGTAATTCAGATAAATTTACCTAAAAACGAGAAATTAGAAGGACCCAAGTGAATTACTTTTGAGTCAAACTTGAATGTTATTAAATTTTTTCTGATGTTCCTTCTAAAGTTGTGCCCACACACCCAAAAGAAAAAATATCAACCCTCCAATAGCAAAATTCACCAATGACATCATATGATAACATAGCCATCAGATTGTTGAGATTTCTCCTCATGCAAAAACAAAATGTCCTTTGACTGACACGTTAACATCATTGAGGCTAATAATTTTTTTATTGCACAAAATACTACAGAGAAGTTTGGAGAAAAAAATAATAAAAATTGAAAAGAGAAAGGGTGGAATGTGCGCCATCAAAGCTAACAGTAGGCTCAGTCCTTTTAGAAAATTTATTACTGAATCTGGCAGTCAGAATTTTGGTAATTTCCATGTTCAATTGGGTGGACCATTTTTTTTACTGCAGTATAAATATTCTTTTTGGGTAAAATTCTGAATCACCATGTTAAAAAAAATCTGAAATGGTGAACTTTTTCTGCTTAAATGCTATACATGCTACTCTCATTAAAGTCAGAAATAGTAAATGCAAATGCTGGCATATCGATAGGGTTACAGACTTACGTTGTTGTATTTTGGGTTTGATTTTTTTACGAGAAAAGACATTATGACTGAATTTAAGATTTTACTTTTTTTTATTAAATTTAAAGTAAATATTACGCATAATTTTTAAATTTTAAGTTAAAATTTATATTAATATTTAAATTTTAAAAAATTTTAATTTAATCATTAATTATTCAAACATGTATCAATATAATATTTTTATTACATGGCATGACACGTTACTTTATAATCAATGATAGATGTATAATGGGCATTTCACGTGTCGGTTGAATGAACGTGGCTTTTTCTTTTCAGCATCAAATGGCACCGTTTATATAAAATAAAAAACTTCAAAGTGAGCAACTTCTAATTTTTGTTTTAAGTTTCCATTACCAATCGTCAATTTCACCAATGACCACCATCGATCTTTATGCTTATTTTTTAAAAAAATTTTAAATCCCTTATTTTCCTTATTGACCAAAACCCAACTATAACCCAAATCTTAGCAAATTTGGCATTTCTTTTTATGTTTGGAAAACCCAAATAGAATCACTAGACTCAGAAAAATTTTGTTGCCAAACCCTTTTTTTGTGATGTCTCTCTTTTGGAATCCAGCTTTTATTCAATCTTAATGGGTTTCTATTTTTTGGGTTGAAGCTTTTGATTTTCTACAAACTAGTTTAGCTAACAGTCAATCATCAAGTGTAATTACTTATGAGTTGTAAGTATGATTAATTTTGGGTTTACTTGCTAGTGTTATGGGTTTCTACCAAATTGAAGATTATCAGTTGATTGGGTGGTGATTTTTTTTATTGGCAATTTTTTATGGGTTTCTAAGTATGGGTTTGATGGATTTTTTGTTTGGAGGCTAATTGAATTTGCTGTTGAATTGCTTGAATGTCTGTTGCCAAATTGCTTTCCCTATGTATTGATTGATGTATGCTTGATTGCTTTTGTTTTTGATTGCTTGTTATTTGTCTCTGTAATTATTTAATTCCTCATTTGGCTGATAATTTTTTTATTTAAAATTAAGAACAAAACATTAACCTTACACATAATACAACTTTGTAAGGGTGTATGTCATGTTATGCTGGATGTTCCACCAATTTAAATGATTCAGCAAACAGAAGAACTATATTGATACACATTTGGACAATTAAGGATTAAATTAGATTATTTTTAAGTTTGAGAACTAATATAAAATTTGGCCCAAAGTTTTGAGACTATGCATGCTATAATAGAATTTTTTTGCACTATTATAATAGAATATCTCATCCCATAAAACTAATATTAAGCCTTTTATTTCTTAATAAAATTATTATTTAATTTTTTTCATACTTTTGGCTTTATCTTTGTAAGTGACTACAATAATCTATAACTATAAATAAAAACTATCCTCAATTTAATATTGCCAACACACATCAACAATGTCTTAAAAAAGAAATTCATAAATAATTTTGGAATAAACAAATCTAGAAGGTTCTCTTATACCCGCTCAAACTCTTCTCAAGTCTTTTCAATTCTTGTATATGGGTTTTCTCAAACACTCTTTAAAATCACAAAGCTTCTATGATAACAAATTGACCTTTAAAGAATATGCCAAAATTTGGATTTTTTCTGGTAAATCATTTTTTGAGTTGGTTTTGAGTTGATCTCTATGTTTCTAACTTGATTTTATCGTTTTCTTCAATTTTTTTATTACTTTTCTAATATAGATTTTTTATTATTAAGTCATAAACTTTTGGTTTTCATTGTTCTTTTATGTTTTTTTTTTATAATTTTTTTAAACGAGTTTTGATTATTGATTGATAAAGTTGAGGGTTTGATTGTTTAGATTGGGATTTTTTTACTATTTCTTTAATTTGGGTTTTGATTTTTTATTGAGTTTAAATTTTTTCATGAATGCAATGAGCATTACTTGAAAAGATTGTTTGTCAGATCTGATATACTAATAAATATATGTCTTTGTTTTACAATTATTGAAGCTTCTGATTTAAGAGAAGATGGGAAGCAAAAAGAGTGGATGGTTCTGAATAGTGAAGAAATTGTTCAAATTATCTTCTAAGAACTTACATGTAAAAAATGTAACTAATTTTTATTGATTTTTGGATTTTTCCCTTTTTACTCACTGATATGATTACCATATTTATAAGCAATTAATCTAAGACAATTACGTTAACATCTTTCAATATTTTTCTTTCACTTAAAATTTCATTTTAAGATAGCCTTTGAAAAACCAAACATCTACATTCAAAACATTTTAATGGTGATGAAACTAAGCCTAAACGTGTAAATCATTTAGTGATGATGAAATATGCTGCTGATGATGATGAATCATAATGATGATCAATCATTGAATATTTTTTTAATATATTTTTTGCTTTTTTATGCATGCATGGGTCTTTTATGGTGTTTAGAAGGATTTTATCAACTTTGAATTGCTTTTTTTTTGTACCATTTGCTAACATAACAACATCGTTAGGGTTTTCATAATAAAGAAGTAGAGTAATAGTAGTATATAACAGCACATAGCAGCCATGGTTCACAAGGATAATTCTTTTTTTTTTTTTACAAAAATCTATATTTTCATTGGTTATTTTTTCGTTTTGCATGAATTTTTTTGACTATTTGTTCATATCTACATTGATTTTGTTTTATCAATCCTTGAAATTACATAATACTAGTTCAATTTTTATTTTTTTACCAATAATTGCTTATTAGAATAAATAGGTTTTTCTTTGTATTTAGATTTTGTAGGTTTTATTTAGTGATAAGTTTTATTAAGATAACCCATTTCATTTTTTCTATTTTGTGTTTATGTTTTAAGGGTTTTCTATTTCAGGATTGTTAGATATGTAGAATTTGTTTTAGATTAGTTTTGGTTTAATATAATTTTGAGCAGAGATAGGTGAGGAAATATGATTTTGATTTGATCATATTTATAATTAATTATAAATAGTATATATTCATAAAAGATGAATTTTCTAATCATTACCTAAAAATAAAATTTCTTCATAACGTATCAAAGGTACAGATAAAGAGAAACTATATAGGAGTGAATTATTGCTTTTTGATCGCATGTATGATTTAACATTCAGCTAGAAAATTAGAGACTAT